TGTTAAAACATTCCCCTGATATTTAATATCCTGCAACTCCTAGATGTTTATAACTCAAAATTTGTCACTCGCTTCTTGGGCTTTTTCTCTTGCTGAAGACTATATTTTTCCTGTCTTCTTGCAGTTGATAGTTAGTCCTTTATTCTCTCTTTCTCCTACCAAACTATCTGGGTAGTCTTGTAGTCTCCTTGATTACTTTTCTATTTTTCTATCACCTTAATAATGTTTCAGTTTTCTTATTCTTTCACACCTTTGTTTGACACCTTACTTCAAAGTTGCTTTACTGCCTTATATGGGGTGAATTTGATTCAAAGAAATATAACAGATATGTCCTTTTTTCACTATAGTTAAAGTATAATAGTTTTCTATAATTTTGAAAAAATGAAAATTCGGTGAAGAATGTGAAAAGATTTCAATGTTTACATCTGAAATTAAATAAAATATCAACTTTAATCGAAATCTAGGAAAAAGCAAATTTATAAACAGAGGGAATGCCTACTGGGTCTGAATGTTATTGAACTCTAGTTTTCTTGAAATTCATTTTTCCCCTTCCATTCGTTATATTAATTTAATTTACACGCTAATATATATTTTTTATATCCCAGAAAATAAACTTTATAAGGCTGGGACGAAAACGGTTGATTTTGGGGTTTTTTTTAGCTTTTTAAAAATGCCATATAATTTTGCTTTTTCCTAGATATCGTTAAATTTTGTACCATAAAAAAAAAAACTTATTTAATCGAAATGCTAACAACATGAAAAAGTCTTGATTTTAAACTGTCGACAAGAAATTAATACCTATCTCATGCGCTCAAAAATGCTTTTATGAAACCTTACTCTTACTGAAAGCCTTTAAATATATTTTCCTATTTATTAATGTTACAATGCGCACGCGGCAGAATGGTTAGAACGTTGGCATTCATGTGACCCGGGTTCGAATGTCAACATCGATTTATCAGCAAGAAGACTTTCTGATGTTATCAAACTGGAGCGGTCGATCCCAGCGACGGCAAAGTGCCTGAAAACCATACCACGGGTTGATCCAAGCGTTTTGCGTGAAATTGGGGAGACGAAAATCTGTCATCGAGGATTTGAGCATGCTGGCCTTGATCAAATTCTTGATCATACTAAATAACATGCAGAAAACTCTAACTAAGATATAAAACACAGGTGGTCTCTGTGGGTGTTGAATAAATACAAAATGTGCCTGAGTAGACAGGTATCCTCGAATACAAGTAGCCAGCTATACTATATACAATGTTACAGTTTATTATTAAGTTACCATATTTCCCATATGACGATTTCCCACTTTATGTCCAAATGAATATTATCTTTACCTCGTCAGTTTAAAATGATGCGTATTTTTGTTCGGCATAAACTATAAATATGAAGTATAGGATGCAAGAATTAATCTTAATTATGTTTGAAAATTTTCATGTGAAATCAAAAAAATACATATAGATGTGTAAAAAAAATAGGCATCTGTTAAACCTGAAGATTTGGATTGAGTGCGCCGTCTACATAAGTGGAACGGGCAAAATATGAAACGCGATATCAAATCATAACATCATCATCACTCGAGTGGCCATTTGAAAAACATCCCCACAAAATTGATCATCTACTCGTCTTTAATATTGTTGGTTGAATATCTTCCCCAATAAAGCATCTAAAACAGTAAAATATTCAATCGAAAACTGTCATAATTTAGAAAGTTATAAAAAAATCAAATTTATTTTACTGACAAAGTTGAAAATATTATTCATATATATGAATTCATTAATTTTTAAATGCGAAATTTATCACGTCATATAAATTCTTGTAGTGGCACCCTCAAAAAGATACATACACTTGTTTACTTGCAACCATCGAAGAGCTGGCAAATGTTCATTTAATAACATCGGAGGTATAATATCTGACAAAGCTATGAGTTTTAATGTCTACCAACTTATACATTCTACCGGCTTTAGTACTCGAGTAGGAATAATCAATTTGATCGTCGCGAAAGAGACCAATTTAAGATTGTTACAGCTAAACATGGCAAAAAGAAACTGGAATTAACCAGCTACGTTCAAATTCATGGTTACTCTGTTGCATTCACTTTCGCAGACATGTCATTAGGAAAAAAAAACATAAATCTGTCATTTCTCTTTCGCTCTCTGTTGTAGATTAAACAGTATGGCATGAGAGACTGGAATTCCTAGCCTTGGGTAAAAACCAGTCTTTGAATTCAGGATCAGACTGAAGATCGATGGGCTTTCCCTAGTCACACCTACTTTTGCTCCGGTGGCAGTACATATATGGCACCAGATCCAAATGGTTTATAGGACACATTATCATTGAATCGAGTAAATAATTTATTTTCAGTTGTCGTTGGTATGATATCTCTGTAATCGAAAAGACATATCACTTTGTCTACACTAATATGAAATAGAATCTATTAACCTTTCAGATGATGTATTGGCAAACAGCTGAGTGATGCTTTAACTAAACGGTATAAGAAAAAAACAATAAAATGGCTAATACATACATGTTTGGAATTAAAAAAAATTAAGACCAAAATTTAGAATCGTAGTAATATTATACTGACAGATCATCAACAAAAAATTCAAAAGTTTGTCAAGAATTAATGAGGAAAGAATTTCAACTTGGAACTGAAAAAAAATAAGACTATTCACATCCTCTGATCGCTGATTGAAACCAGGATTATTACCAATCAGGATTAGCAGATGTTCCCTCATAGAGTTTTCATGTCATGAACTTCTATTTGGCCTCAAGTGGAACTTGGACACACTATATATCACAGAAGATGCTGGAAAAGTGATCGGTTTTCTGCACTCTTCCCCCTACTATCGTTTACACCTTTACAAGAGCTGCAGGTCAAAAATGGAGTACTGTTTCCAAACATGACTAAGGTGTTGACCAGCCTTCACTTTCCAGTCACGATAAAGCTGAAAAGCTCTTCCGTGATCTTAACGTGATCTTATGGCTGATTATTTTTTCACACTACCTTTCTTACAGATAAAACGTTGCCAGCCCCTCGCGTTTTATATCGTTATTTCCATAGAATGTGTCCAGAAGAAAGACTTTTTTTTAGTTCCATCAGTTCTAACCTTCACGGCTAAGAGCCACCATGCTGCCCACATTGTAGTGAACCACACGCATTCCCTTCATATTCCATTAATGAGATGTAGGTTCCATTTGAGCAGCTTCTTCCCACGATTCACTGTTTCGTGGAACCGACCCAAGACGATGCTTCTTCAATCATTGCAATCTTAACCTATTCAAGCCTAAGGGTAATCGGTATCTTCTCCGCATATCCTTATAAAATCTGCCTTCGATTCTGTAACTCTTGGGCCTTTTACTGGGTGATCGTCAATGTAAAAAAGCTTTAAAATAAATAAGCAGCTGAACTCAAAAAAAAAAAAAAGAAATGGAAATCAACAATAAAAAAGATTTATTCGTTATTCGACTCCAAAGCAGATGCGTCTCTGTTCACTGCAATCTTAGCCTGTTAACGATTAGTTGTCAACCATTATTTTCCCCAAATATCCGCATAAACTAGGCTTCTTACTCTGTAATCCTCTACCTTGAGTGGTTCTTTGGCCTTATACAAGACATCATTGTAGAAGAAAAATTTTGGAATGGAAATAATTCAGAATACAGACAATTTAAGATTAAAAGACTGAACTGAAATCGGATCCAGTTTAAGCATCTATATTTAGAAAGTTAATTTAGAATGAACGATAATCATTGTAAAAAGATTAGGACAACAAATAAAGGAAGATTTTACTGCCGTAAAAACTTTTAACGTTGAGGCCAGAGAGTTGGAGATGATACGTAGCATTTGAAAACATGGTCTTGTATCTATATATAAATATGTTTGATAGAATATATGGGATTCCAGCAATGTAAGGTCAAATTTTATATAAGATATAACCTTGTATGGTTTTCCATATAGCCTGTGTGTTAATGATAATGATAGAAATGCTTGACGGGCGAAACTAATAGAGAATTCTAACAAAGTAGGGATTTATAAGTTGCTTTAACACGTGCGCGTGTTAAAATTAATTATGCTTAGAATCATTTATGCAAAACTTTATTCACTCCGTTATGTGTCTGGAGATATTTCTTACGCTGAATGCATTTACTTACCCTAGTTGAATATTTTAATTTCCATATTTAATTTTAATGCATGAGAACAAAATAGAGACATCTAACGAAGATTACGAATAAAATTTATTATTTGTAAGGATAAATATTTTTGCTTCGTGAATTTAGAATTTAACGCAAATTATAATAAAAATCAACCAAAAAAATAAGAAAAGTTTATGAAGAATTATCTCAGGATGGAAACAATTTAAATCTAAAATAAAGCAACAGATGAACTCCACTTTATGTCAGAATTCAGTTTAGAATATTTCTCTTGGTCTTCATGCTGAAGGTTAAATACTGGAGTAGACATAAGTAGACTTTGGTGAAAAATAATCAAGGAGAAGGAAAATTCTGAATTCCAAACTATAGAGAAGACAACTTGAAAGCACTCCACTATCTTTCCCAAGAACGCATGGTAATTCACAGATAACAAAAAGTCATCTGTGGGGAGTCATGATTGTCTACATGTGAATTAAAAATTAGGAGTTAAAATACTTTAGGTCATAATTCAGAAAATTTAAGACTAAGAGAATAAGCTGAACTCAAATTAAGTTTAAGCATCAATATTTATAAATTTAGTTTAAAATGAAACAAAGCCTAATTTAAGACAACAAATGTAGAGCGAATATGTCGCTACATTTTTACGTTGAGACCCGAATGTTCAAGATTACTTTTAGCATTTGAAAACATGTTCTTGGGTGATTGATTGATTTGATTTCTACAGCCTGTCATCACTTTGCGAGCAACTCAATCATACTGGAACCCAGGTTTCAATATGATGTGGCCATAATCCAAAGCATAGTCTTGTATCTACATACAAATCATATGTTGGATAGAATACTTGAGACTTACGGCCACATCACTTTGAAACACTGGTTCCCGTACGATCACCAAAGTTAAGCAACATCGAGATTGTTCAGTACCTTGATGGGTGACAGCTTGGGAATATCAGGTGCTGTAAGTTTGGATTTTGGTGTGATGTAATTGATAATGGCTTAGAATTGTCAATCGGATATCCGAGTCGCAATTCCCGTCAGGTTCTTTATATTCACTTACTAACAGCATGGCCCGGCGTTGCCCGTGCTTGATTCAAAAATCGTACGACTCATACAGCTATCACTTGACTTAAAATATTTTTGTCCTTCCTTGCCTTTAAAGGAGTGCTCTTTGCAGTGCTGATGTTGCTACATACCTTACTTCTTGTTTATCTCACACTGCGAATTTTTTCTAAGCTCTATACTAAACATTAAATCTGTTACGAAAAAAGAACTAAAGAAAATGAACACAAAACGATCAGCTTTAAAAAAGGATCCGTAACTGGAAAATAAAAAAAGAATGTTAACAACAAATACTTTTTCACATCCAACCCAGTTCTGCGGAATCAGAATCAACGTTGAGTTTAAGCAAGCGAATGAGCTAATTAGAGTAAAGTGCCATGCAGATTTAAATGTTTCCCACTTGTGACGAATGCAGCTATCGATTTTTTTGCATGCTAGCATGCTAGTTAACATTCGTGTCAGTCAGCTGTTGGCTCTCACGCTGGCTAATAGAATCTTCCTGCCTATTCGTGGCAGCCAGCTATTGGCTCTCACTCTAGCCAGTACAAAATGGCCGCAAACTACATGAAAACTGGCGTATAAGCATGAAAAAATTGATTATTTCCACTATCGATGGGAGTTGGGAAATGCTTACTTGGAGCATGTGCATGTAAATTTTGGTGCAAATCCGTCGAAAATTGCGGCCGTGCATTCGTTACACACACACACACACACACACACACACACACACACACACACCTCCTGCCTTTTATAGATAGAGATTCACGAGTAACCTTGGGAAAGTTATGAAACCTCGAATTTTTCTCCCAACTATATGTTAATCAGTAGACTTGTATCACGAAACTATTATTATCGAAAAATAATTCTTACAATCTAAAAATATTTTCTTGCTTTAAATAATCTGCAACAGGTTGATAAACTGTAGGAAACGAATCAGTTTTTCAAGAATATTTAGGATTTCAGCAATTTAAGATCGAATCTTTTTACCCGCGATCTCTTTGTATGGGTTTTCAAATATCTTAACTATTAAAGATGATGACGGAAGCGTCTAAAATTGTCTTGAACCACGGCCTCTAGAAAACTTCCGAATCTCCAGAAACTCTTCTGGATTGTCTCCTTGTTTAAGTTGGTGAATGCTGCCCTCATCCTTGCCTTCAGTTCATCTTTTGTGTTACAAGGAGTTTTGTTGGTCTCTCGATCAACTGCGCCTCACACATAATAATCAAGGCGATTACAGTCTGGGTAGTAAGGTGATGGGATCGCAGAAATTTTCTGGGAGCCATGACTGGATTCTCCTGCTTGTGTGGCATGGCACACAGTTCGGTTGCCAGACATAGGGTCTTCCAATAGGGCAATACTACCTCTTCAATCTGAGGCACCGTGGGAATATTAATAGAGGTATAACGTTGCCATCACTAGGGATCACTTCAAACACAATGATGTTGACTGAATATATCATCCAACATTTTATGAATCCTCAAATTGATACCTAAACACTCTGAAGTGTTCGTATTGAAGCTTCCGATGCGAATGTCAAGCAGTACAGCATGTTGTTTCCAAATTTCTGGAGGAGTGTATTGCGCCATGATGAACTTTTTTTCTCAAAGACGGTGCCCAACTGACCCTACTATAACAGCCGGAAGACAAAATAAAAGTAAATAACGCGCATGCGCAAAGTTAAAAATATAAATTTATCCATCTCAACACACACATGTGTATGTGTGTATGTGTGTGTGTGTGTGTGAGTGTGTCTCCCCAAAATGATATAACTATATCAATATGTTATATGATGATGGTCATGGTTGAACTTTACAGAATACTTTTTTAAGCAGGGTTCGAACCTGCGTCCTCCTTTGTAGGAGAATACACCGTTTGTACTGGCGAGTTTTTGAACGCTCAGCCAGAAAAGACTTCGCCGTCCATCAGAAAAAAGGGTAACTAATTATAACAAGCCCAATATCAGTAGACTTCTTATAGGTAATTCTAAAACTTCACAATTATATATATATATATATGTGTATGTGTGTATGTGTGTATGTATGTGTGTGTGTGTGTGTGTGTGTGTGTGTGTGTGTATCAACCACATGACAACTCACTACATACACACTTCTCCAAACAAAGCATAATCAAATAAATTCAATTCGCTAATCACCAGCAGATATTCCAAGAACTCGTCAAACGAATAAATTTCAATGAAGCCAATAGAAGTAGAAAAACAGGAAAAACCGTTTTGCATTTGTTTTACTTTTACACTTCAAAAAAGAGCAAAATTCAAACAGAACTATACACCAGATTCTAAAAACTGCCAAAAAATCGGTAAAATATTCATCAGTCATCGACACATATTTGCCAATAATAATCTTGACCAGAAATTCCCTAAAATGTACTTCTTCTATGTATCGTGTACCTTCAGGACATGTGGGATCATGTCTCTCCACAATCTCCTATCTCTTGTAAAGTGTGTCCCTTGATAAAGCTTCTTATCCCATTCTCATTGCACTATCCACTGAGATAAGATTGTCAAGGAGTTGGCCTTCTGTATCCCTTGTCTTTCTTTAGTCTTGACACGTCCTGTGTAAAACATTCGCCAAGCCATACTTCCTAATTACGCGTTCAAGATGTTTCAATTTTCTCTTTCTGGAGTAAAATCGGAGTAAAAATTATACTTCAATTTTCTTTATGACTTCATTGCCTCGATAATCAGTCCAGACTATTCTCAACATCCTTCTGTATAACAACATTTCTGTTGCCTTCAGTTTTCTGTTTTTACTCCTTGAAGAGATTGGCCAATATTCACTGCTATTGATATCTAACAGGATTTGATATTGCATAAGAGTCTAGCCCCCTTTTCTTCATCTCTAACGATTTTTTCCCGTTTCTTAGTACTTGGATTAACTTTTAGAATGCTATCCCGATGCACGCTCTGATTTCGCTTTCGTAATTTACATCTTCTATTAAAACACTTTACAGTTATTTAATTTAGCTTGATTTTGACATCTGCAATAAGTAATTCATAACTCGGGTTTTTTTCTCGCGAAAACCATACATTGATCCTGCTGCTTTGAGATACGTGGGTCGGTTGAAAGGTTCACAGGCTGACCAAGATACTCTCAAATGAGGTTTCATTTTTTACCATAGTCCCCCTTGCGGCCACATGTCTACTGTCGGTGTTGCATTGGTTTTATCTCGTTGTTGAAAAAGCTTTCATTCTGTTGTTAAAAAGGTCATCAACAGTGGATATGACGTCGTCATCATTCAGATACTGGTTCTCAGCTAAGTTTTTATTCATTTTATGAAACCGATGTTAGTCAGATGGGGCCAAATCAGGGGATGGTGATAAACTAGATCCGTCAGCAAGGCCTCTCATCAGACAATTTTGGGGATCGTGGAACCACCTCTTAATTGCTGCTTCCCACAAGTTCGCCCTAACCCAATGTGGTAGCACCTGTTAGGGTCTCAGCTATAGGAAAATGGTTAACCACCAAACTGGGATCAAAACACTATGCAATTGAAAAAATATGTTATTATTATAAAAAATACAATTTTTAAAAACATATATTTAATAGATTTTTGAAAATAAATTATTACTAGAAATACAATTTTGTAAAAAAAAAGATTATTACCATCAATATTTTGAAAAATATGACAGCAATTTTTATGAATTTCAGTCAATAGTATCACTAACTGTTTAGCCATTGAACCCAGCATATTTCCCGTATGGAAACGGTTAATCTCACCAACAGCATTAATTTTATTCGTACGGACATTCTGTGTAACGGCCTATTTAAAATATTGGAAGACGGATTTGAGTCTGTAAGATTTCTTAGAGCAACCAGCGTTAGTTGTTTTAATGATGTGGTGTATTTATGCGACATGTGGTCCGCCGTGGCCAAAAAGTCATCTTGTCTCGAAGAAATCCTGTGGGTAAAAAGAGAAGCGAAAAAGATGTCTGCTTCTACTGGTTTCTGATTGGTCGGTCCACATGACCTCCAACTAATCAAAATAATGCCCACTTTCAATTCAGAATCTGTGTCTGACACTCTAATGCTCCACATTTGCAATAAGAAGTCTATAGCTGAACCCTAACTGCAGGCGGTCAACCCTCTGATTTGATCCACAGTGTCAAATCTTCAGTGAGATCCCTGACGACAGCGCTGCAAAACTGCGCTGAGATAACCACTCCTTACATAGATATAATTGCACGTTCGTAACACCCCCAAATGCCTACTGCAATCATCTGTAAATGCAGAACAAAGTATGAATCCGCAACCAATAGTAATTCCCCAGAAAACCAAATGAAAAGCTACGTTAAGATCCAAAGAAACCCTCCACCCAAATATATACGAATGACAGAAACGACCTGGAAAGATAGACGCTATATAAACAAAACTTCATTTAGCAAGAGAAATCTAAGCCAACAATACAAAGCAGATGTACAAGAGCCAGTAAAATGAGTATATGTCGAAATTCTTAGACATTCAGATTCTGGGATCGTTATTGTCCAAGACAAACATGCTCCAGCTCATTCAAATTGGATGTGTTTCGTTTGTCGGCAGTGATTTTTATATTGCATCCCAGATTCTCAATTGAACTGAGGAAGTTGGACCATGTAAAGACGTATAAACATTTCATCTTCGAAATCAATCGATATTTGCTTTTGTTTTTCATTATCCTAGTAAAAGTGAATCTCTCTTCTCGTCTGAAATGCATAGAAGATTGTAACACTTTTTTTTCTCTAAAGTATTTCCTGCATTTAGTGGCATCTGAAGTTTCTTGAATTCTTGCCTGGTTTCCAGAACTTTACGATGAAAAAAATGTTCAGAACATCGTGTTGTCACTAGAGTGAAAAAAAAACTTCAGTAACGCTATACCAAGAGCTTTGTACAGATGGGGAAATTTGTGT